GTAGAGGTCGCAACCGCCCGTAACGTTGCTGTCTGGAGTGTTGAAGTTGAGAGCGCTCGTGACCGCCTCGAAATCTTGGACAGGTAAATACTGGATACAGACAGCCCTAGGTTAGCATGACAAAAGGAAGCGGGATACAAGCCAAGCGTGAGCCGGTGATGACGAACCTTCATCGTGCCTGGTGGAATACGATAGATGTTGTAGTGGATGCAAAATGGCGGGATGACGATTACGGTGTTGCAATGGGATCAATAATAAATATGAAAATTGCGTGTATCGACAGTGCCTTGAGATGCGTCCCCTTCATAAAGAGTGACGTAGCGGTGGCTTGACACTGCGATGGAAAGAAGGTGATGTTGGCGTGAAGAGGAGGAGCCCGATCGCGGATGGAGCGTGGGCAGCTGACGTTGTCGGGAGATAGCGGAGGATGTGGAGTATTTGGATTTGGCGCGCGCCGGGCGAGATTGGATGGGATTGAAATGCGGCAAGTGTGATTGCATGGGAGGAAAGAGCAACCGGTGTCGCGGAGTCGGCAGCGTCGAGGACAGGTGTCGCGGCCTTTGCGACAGCAGAACGGGGGTCGGCTACGTCAATTGTGAAGTGTCCGGCACTATGTCTGTCGCGGTCAGGTCAATCACGGTGAGGGTGATGACGTGCGGTGAGCAGATAGGACCCTGGAGGCTGAGTTCGAGAGGTGGGGAACAATTGCCAGACGGCGAGGTCTAGCAGGACCTGGGGTCGACGGACATTGCTATGGGAAAATGCTGGATCTGGGAGTGGTGTTGATGTAGATGGAGGAGGGAAGAGGGCTGCTGCGAATCGCTTCCCGCTGATATGAACTCAGCTGAACGGGAGGGCAGCAGGGGGGGTGGCTTGAATATGAAAGCAATCATGGCCAAGGCGGCGGGGAGCCCTGGCGTGCTGACTTGTGCTCTGCTGGGACTGGAACTTGGATGGGGGCCATCCATAATCCATGGGGGAGAGGGGCTCAAAGGAGTGGAGGGACGCTCACGGGAGAAGGGGCCCGTCCGCGAATCGGGAGCCGGAAAGGAACAAGCTGCAGCATTTCTGGCGGCACCAGGTTAGGGGTTAGGGGCAAAGGCAATTGGACCCATGGCCGGTCGGTGGTGGCACACCCAACAGATGATGCTGCTGCTGCTTGTCGAGGCCTGGAATCCAAACGCCCACGCAAACAGGTCGCTGTGTGGCTGCTGGGTCGTCGTGGCTCATTTGCCCACTCATGCCATCCTTCCGAGATGCGTGTGTTGGCCCCCGGCTGCGGATTGGCTAAGCTTTCCGTCTGGAACGCTTTCGAGGTGGTGCCAAACTCTGGTGCGGTGCCAATGACGAATCGCGACGCACCTTGTCTGCACGAGCTGACATGCGCCTCCAGCATTGTCGCTGCACCCACTGAGACCCCATCCTGGCCAGCTTCTGTCGAGGTCTCATGACCCAGTGCCTCTGCATATGCATGGAGAAAATAGCAATGGGCGGTTAGCGACTTCCTGTATTCGTAAGAGCTTCCTTCGTCATTCACGGCTCGGCTCACTTGTAGTAAAGCCGACGGGATTGGGCTAGAAAAGAGGTTATTTGTGACCGATTCCATAAATGATAGAAAAAAAAAGTAATGCTTTGTCTCTTGATATTAAAGAAGGTGGTTTGTCCACCTTCAAGGATCTATAAACAGAGCCGAGTAGGCCGCCTTTGCTTCTAAACACCGGACGCCTCGATGGCTCGCCGCGACTTGAATTGACTTGCCCGTCTCTAGGTCGGCCCATCATCCTACGGTCGGTAGATGACGCTCATCATGGTCGCAGTTCTTGAGTTCCTTTCTTCATACCAGGCCCACGTCTTTGAGGCGATCTGTGATCTCGTCGGATTGCTGTGGAGTTTCAACAGTCAACTTGCAGTCCCACGTAATATGGCGCACGTGTATCTCGAATCCACTCAGGCAATGCTCTCCAAGGGCCATGGCATGTCCCAAGAACTATGTGGGGTGATGCAAATGTTCCGCAAGGCAGCTGCTACATTAGCTTGGTGACCTCGTCTTCGACCTGTTTCGTCCCACGCATTAGTCGTCTCCCCTACCTCCAAGTCGAAGAAATAGGCCAAAGCAGGAGTGTGTTTGCAGAGGTGTTCGCAGAGATCACATATCATGCAGGGGGGGTTTGTTCCATCAGGCATCTTTTCGCACTTACCTCCATATCCTCGAGTGAGTCCTGCTGCCCTATACAGCGGAGAACGTTCTTCTTGCTACTCTCCTGAAGCTCGCCGGCGAGTAGGAGCTCGTCCAGAATATAGTAGGCCTTCGTGAAGGAGAAGATGATGTCGAGCTCGCACACGTTGCCGTAGTACTTGTCCATCTGTTCGACGTATCTGTGGATAATTTCGAGGGTGATGAGTTCGTTGTCCTCGGAGGAGCAGCCGGCGATGAAGAATAAGGAGGCGTATCGTCGGTACACAATCTTGGTATCTGCTGAAAATGAGCACATGTTTCACGCTATGGCTCCAAGTACCAGCCGACCTTTATATTCAATGAAGTTGCACATGCGTGTCCGTCGTGCCAAGACTAGCTGCGAGACGTCTTTGACGATCTTGGCCTTGTCCTTGGGCGAGAGGGTGGTGAACCATTTTGCCAGACGCTGTTGCCGACACCGATTAGCATCACCTCCCAAATTCGGTTTTCCACGTTCATTTCCGCCATGTTGTTGACATACCACTTTGCCCTGGCGGGAGAGGAGAATCAGATATCTGCCGCATCATTTAGCATTCATGTTTTGGTAGGCGAATAGGGGCCAGGTGTCCGTACTGGATCGCCATAATTAATACGGCATCACATCACCAGAAGCAAGGGGCCTCTGGCGGGAATGCAAGGAAGGGAGAAAAGTCGCTTGGGTTGATTGGAAGTGTGAGTGGAAGTAATCTTGACAGGTTGAATTTTGTCTGGGTTGGGGACGAGCTGCAGCTCTGGCCCATGCAGGCGTGGTGACGGGCAGCTGCTGTTACATACCTCAGGCTCCCAACAATGGGCGGCGCTAGGGGGGACCAGCACAGGGCGACAGGTGCTGACGACCTCCCTACTTGGGTGCCATTTACTGAGCGTCCGCACATCATGCACGATTTGTCTGATGCGGTCTTTTCAGACATTCAATCACACCAAATTAGCATCTTTAGAAGCGCTATTCTTTCGCTATTCCTACGTGGCAAAGTCACCAATGCTTGATCAATTCTAGCTCAATGTGTTGTCACTTCCGCTGGCCAGCGTTGAAGAAGCTTGCCCCCACTGTGTGCTACCTGCTGGTGTCTTAGGTTACCCTGGCAGCTGAGAAGAGGCCTGTAAATACAGGACTCGTGGGGGTGAAGGAGGGGTTCCAAGGCTCCACCGAATTGATATAGCGGGGTTTCCAACGTGCGCTATGGTGCCCGTCCTGTTAAACAGTCGCAAAATCACGTCAACATCCTTCACATGCGGACTGGATTTTAAGGGTCTCAGCTGTGGTTTGTTTTCTCCCCCCGACATGAACAGTCATGGACACTTCGCAACTATTTAATACCTCAACTATTTCCCTCAAAGTCATGAAACCAATTGCTTAGAAATGCCTAACTGGTGATCCGTGAGTTGAATTAGTCAGCGCCGCCGTATATTGATTGGGAAGCCGAGAGACCGAAACACGGCCGCCGCTTCTAAAGAGGGTTCGGAAACTAAGACGCTTGAATTTGCGACCAGTCTTTTTTTTTCTCCCGCCGGTCCTTTCAACAACCACAGTCCCTTTTTGCGATCCAATTCCCTTGTGAACGGCAGTCCGTCGGCTACTGGACTCTCACCATGACGCAAATCATTCTCTCCACGGGGTACGTTGATATCGAGCAGGCACTCTGCGCAGCTAATTGGCTCTTGCGACTAACACGCCGATCTCCGCAGCAATGTCATGTCCGCAGGGCCGACCATTATTCGCAAACGAGGCACCAACAGGTCGAATCTCGAGCTCGTCAACTCGCTTCAGAGCAGCTTCGCCTCCGCAAAAGAAGATTTCGCCCCCGCCACGAACGGCAGCGCCCACGCCCCGACCCCAGTTGAGGCATGGACGGAGCGCCAGGGCGGGACACTATTCGTCCCCAGGATCAGCTGGCAAGGCGCCGGTCTCCGGGACGAGGCGAGCCAGTACGAGATCACCGTCAAGCTGTTCTTCCTGCGCGACACCTTGGTGAAGGAGCGGGAGCAGTTTGCACGCGACGCACTGGAGCTGGTCAGGAGAGAGCTTGGGATCCAGTCCATTGATCTCCTGGTCGTTGCCTTCCCCGGTATCTCGTTCGAGGGCGACTGCGAGTGGGAGGCTGACAGGGTCAATGCGGTCCAGGGGAACCTGGACGACGAGGTTGCGACCTGGAAGGTGCTCGAGGAGTTCCACAGCCAGGGCCTCGTCAAGAAGCTGGGGGTGTCGGAGTTTGGAAGCGAGAAGCTCAGGGCGTTCATGGAGAGGACGACGGTTCGTCCCACCGTCGACCAGATCAACCTCCACAACTGCTGCAACGTACCGCCGCCGCTCAAGGCGCTTGCGGAGAAGTACGATATCCAGCTCAACGTTCACACGGACAGCACAGATATCCTGCCCTGCGGGACCTTGCGCGAGATTCTGGGCCCACAAGGCGCGGGCGTCTTGGCCGACTCTCCATCCGGGAGCGATGGTCTTAGGGGAGAGATCACTCCGCACTGGGTAGTGAGGTACATGGCTTTTGTTCAGGATAGAGGAGTCATTGAGAACAAGGGTTACTTTGCCAGTTCCGGTTGGGATGAGAAGCCCTAGTCCAGGGAGAACTACCCTGTTGAGCGAGACGCATACTGGGACTGTGGTATGGTTGGATTCATGTCATTTTCGAATAGCGAGCATCATGCATCACGAAGGTCAGAAATATCTAGAGCCTATGTTACAGAGGCCATTATTGGATAACTGTTTATCTTTTTTTTCTTGTTCGTGGATATGTCTTGCTTTTTGATTTGATCACCCCAGCATGCTGCGCTTCCTGCCTCTCATTCTAACGTCCTCGAGCCTCTTGAGAGCAAGATTAGACTGCTTGTAGGCTTCTTTGTATCCTTGGAGTAGCTCATCGAAGATGCATTCAGCCCGGGGGTGAGTGCTGGTAAACGCCCGCTCCAACACGTAGAGATCAACGGCCCGATCCTCGTCCGTGGTGCTGTAGCTGGCCAGGCCGAGGTCAATTATGACGATTTCGCCTTCCAATGAGCCCGGTGTTCCGTCTAGTTGTCCATCGATTACACTCTCTGCAGACGGGCTCAGCATCATGTTGCTGGTGGTCAGATCCCCGTGGACGATGCCAATCTTGTGCATCTTCCCCACAGCCAAACCAATCCTTCTCATGAGCTCCTTCAAGCCCTCATCCTTGTCGATGCCCTCCTTCCTGTCGCCCAGACTCTCATTCACCCTCACTCTGACGGGCGCACCGTGGACCCATTCAAGCATCATCCAGCCGGCTGCCTCGTCCATGGCGTACATGGCGGGCACTCGCAGTCCATCCCTGCGACACTTGGCGAGGACCTTGGCCTCAGACAAGATCCGGTGCTTGGTCAGCCGCTGGTCCAGGACGGGATGGCGCCACGGCTTGGGGGGGCGGTACTTGAGGGCGCACGGAATGTCTGGCTGGAGGTATGTGCTCTTGTACAGGCGGCCCTCTGCACCCTGCGTGATGAGATATGGTGGGGTTGAGGCGGGGTACTCGAGCACGGCGGGCAGGGGAAACTGGTGCTGCGATGGCTCAGAGGCCGCTTCAGCTACCGCCGCCGCCGCCATGGTCTCGGGACTGTTCGAGAAGGGGGAAGGTGTGTGCGCGGGAGTGTGCCCTTTTTGCTTGGCTCCTGTTTTGCCGTGCTGTTGAGAATTGGGTTGCAGCTTTTTTTGGTTGAGTCACGAAAGAATTATGGAGAGCTTCTAGCCCAACACATGGCGGCTGCACATCTGGGTATGATTGGCCCGCTGGCAGGGTGGTTGAAATGTAACCTGACCTGCTGGCCACGCTTGCATGCAAGGTCCAGATTTAGCACAGCTGCATGTAAGTACATATTTGAAGGGAAATGATAGCATGAATTCAATAGTTGCATTTTAAATTTGCAGGTTGGATTGCGACGCTGCCGTCAAGATGCATCGGTTGGCCGACGTTGGGGGCGATAAGACATACTAAACTCTATAATAGCGGCGGAGGGACGAGCCGTGTGTCAGTAAGATGGATAGTCTGCGCAATGGCCTCGACTAAGTGGTTTGGAGAGGAAACGAGTCTAGTCCTTCGTAAGAGCCACGGGAGGGTCGGCTTAGCCTAGCTGCAGCCGAACAGGTGACAATCGACGAATAGCCAAGTGCAGCTATTAGCGGAGCATCTTCTGGGTTGATTTATCACAGTGGCTGGGTGGTTCTAGACGTCCCGGGATTGGCCCCTTGGTCAGGAACACCTCCCTGTTGTGTTGGGATTTGTCTCACAGTCGACTTCAGGCACTGTGAATAAGCTGATGCCAGCGGTTCATGACACTCGTTTGATCAGCAGCTCTCCTCGTCGGAACTTGACATCGCCTGCGGCTCAAGCGAACATGCACGATTACAGGAGCAGTCAGCGCTCGTAAATGGAGACTGTACCTGGTGGGCGGCTTCCGATAGATGGATGTAGTATCCATATGTTTTAGTATTAGCAGCTGCAGCTGCAGGGGCGGCACCGGGAGGCCCTCATGACCTGCAGCGCGCACATCGCCCAACGTCACTAACAGCCTATACCCTAATAATTATGCCGTATTTATTCCTCATCGCTCCCTTGGCCTACTCCCGCCCTCTTCCCCCTCCCCAAACGATCGGCACGCTTCACAGAATCATGGTCCGGTAGCGCGGCGACAGATATCCTCCAGCTTGAGTACACCAGCCGCAAATATGATTGAAACCTCGTCTTCCGGCTGGCTTCAGTGGACCATCCTCCTGGTCCTTACCGCCCTAATCCTCTCCACTGTCGTGCTCGCACAAGTTGTCGCAACCTACTCCATTGCCTATGTCGCCGCGCCCAAGGAGATCGCCACCTTTAAGGATACCGTCGAGTTCTCCATCCAGGAGAATGAGAGCTACGATCGCGATGTCACCAAGGTCCAGCGGTTAGATGACAAGTTGCGCCTGGGGCGACTGCTTCGCGAAATCCAGAAGGGAGGCGACGACCTGCGCGAGGAGCTCAACTCCTTGCTCATTGATGAGGACACCACCACACTGCGCACGGGCGCTCGCCTCATGTGGGCGACCAAGAGGAGACACCTTGAGGACAGCGTGCGCAGACTGGACTTGTTGCGCATGCGCTTTCTTGTCGTCTACATGGGTATCATCACGTCAATCGCGGACAAGCAGCCCCCAGCCCCGCCACCTCTGCCCAGAGATTCCGAGAAGCTATCGCTCATGAGGACCCCTACAAGACCAGCCAAGCCCACTTTACAGAAAGCCCACACGGACAACAATATCAAAGCGCGCCCGCCACTCAGGAGAATCACCACCCAGGCCATCGGACACCATGAGCATACCGGACGACCGCACCGCCAGGGCTGGGCTGGTGTTGTCGAGGAGCTCCAGCTCTCTCCTAGGATGCAGCAGCGGCATGCTTCAATAGAAGCCTCGATGGCGCAGCAAATGTCACCACCACTTCACACTTCATGAACGGAATGAATGAATACCAGACGATACACAGGACTGATAAAGCAAAAAGTGCGGCCCTTAGTGGCCACTGGATAAAGCATGACCAACATGATACAGCATTGACTACGACACTCAAAAACACAGCGCGGCATCTGCGACGCGAAATGATCCTACGACAGTTTATGAACATACACCAGGCTAAATTTCTCATTTTACTTGACATGAGATATCACGGAACCAGGGGCTGGGAGAGGCGTTTGCCAACATTGGGTTTTCATCATCACCTCACTTCACATCACGTTATTTCATTTTACTTCACTTCACCCCAATTCACTTCACTACTTCTATTTCTTTTTAAAACCGTTCCTGGTTTTTTCCTTTTCTTTCTCATTTCTCTAGATAGGATACCCCATTCATATTTTCTTTCGTGAGAGAGTTGATCAAATTTTTTCTTATTTCAACGATTTTTTTTCTACATGGTTCCTTATTTGTCTGTGACATATTTGCTATCGACGGAAGGATGTAACGGACTACGACCACGGGGGGCTGGCATCTGGCGCAATTTCCATCATCTTCACCAACCACCTGTATTTAAGTTTGAGTTTGTGTGTATGAGAGGGGTGTCTCATCAAGTGTGTTTCTCAGAATGCAGACGTCGCGACCAGGAAACGGCGCATCATTTCTTTTACGGCCAATCCGTACCTTTTCCAACTTCGAACTCGACTAGTAGCATCGTAGAGGAGTGATTCCCATGTACTGCGACTCCGCATTTTCGTTGTCCCCTCATTCTCACGGTGCTTTAGGGAAAACGAAAGCCTGCTGTCACACCCCGCGCCCCTTGCGCCATCTCTTCTGCCTAAACCAAATGCCACCTTGATTCGTTGTTGGCCCTGATGTATTTCGGCCTAGCTGCTACGCTACAATCATGATGAAGACCAAAGAGAAAGCGCATATGATGCATGAGGTATGGTTTTAGTTAGACCAGTATACGAGATCTAGAGTTAGCACAAAACGCGAAAACGATTCTGGCAAACTACTCCTCATTATTTTTGTTGAATAATTCTGAAAGATAGACCTGAAGGATAGCTGGTTCGAGGTCAAATTGCGCCCAACCGGCAGGAGCTGCTCCACAGACGCGCAGCATCGCATCACGTGATCTCATTGTTCGCGTTGCCGTAGTAAGGTTGCTCCCCGTTAACCATTAACGCGACCTCGCTTTTTTCCGCGACGACTGCCTTCAACCCTTTTTCTTCCTCTCCTCCCCCCAAGGATATTCAGCTCCGTCGGCGCGCGTGTCAATCAAGATGGCCGAAATCAAGATCGACAGCAAGCTTTTCCAGGAGCGAATTTCGCATTTCGCGACCTCTTGGAAGAATGACCTTCGATCCAAGGATAGCGTCTTCGGGGGCGCTTCGTCAGTGCTTATCATGATGGGCAAGGTCGAGGAGGCGGCCGAATTTCACAAGAACAATGCGATGCATGTCAGTTGATGCCTAGATCTGGATTGAGTCACTAGGATGGAAGCTTGATACTGACTTTATTATTTTTCGAAATAGTTTTGGCTCCTCGGATACGAGTTCCCTACGACGCTCATGTTGCTCACGACCGATACCCTCTACATCCTAACGACAGCCAAAAAAGGTGCGATTCTCCATCGGCACCCGCGAGTGAACAACCATTTTCTGACAAGCTTATAGCGAAGCATCTGGATCAGATCAAAGGCGGGCGCTTCCCGGTCGAGGTCCTCGTTCGAGGCAAGGATGCTGCAGAGAATGAGAAGCTCTTCGTTAAGATTGCCGAGAAGATGAAAGCCGCCGGCGTACGTTCACAGACTTGTCATTTCCACAAGAATGAGTCACTAACGAATTTCATCAACAGAACAAGGTCGGTGTCATCTCTAAAGACACGTCGCGAGGTCCGTTCGTAGACGAGTGGAAGAAAGTACTGGCAGAGCATGGCAAGGATATTGAGCAGGTCGACATCGCGGCCGCCCTTTCGATGCACGCCTTCTCCGTCAAGGATGAAAACGAACTACGCGCCATGCGATCAGCATCCAAGGCTTGCGTTGCCTTGATGACGCCCTACTTCCTGGACGAAATGTCGAACATCCTCGATGCTGGAAAGGACGTGAAGCACTCTGCCCTCGCCGACCGAGTTGATAAGAAGATCGACGACCCCAAGTTTTGGAAGAATGTAGAGCTTCCTAACAATGGCAAGCTTCCCTCTGATTTGGATCCCACCCAGCTGGACTGGATTCTGGGCCCTGCTGTCCAGAGTGGTGGAAAGTTTGACCTTCGCTTTGCTACCGACTCCAATAACGACAACCTCCACCCCGGAATTATCATCGCAGCCATGGGTTTGAGATACAAGTCGTACTGCTCTAACATTGCTCGAACATATCTGGTCGACCCAAACAAGTCACAGGAGAGCAACTACAAGCTTCTATACATGATTCACAACTCCATTATCAAGGATATCCGCGATGGTATGACCGCCAAGGAGGTATACAATAAGGCCATCGGCATTATCAAGGCCAAGCGACCCGAGATGGAAAAGCATTTTCTAAAGAATGTTGGTTGGGGTGTAGGAATTGAGAACAGAGATCCCACCCTGGTTCTTAGCGGCAAGAACTCCCGCGTTCTCCGAGACGGAATGACGCTTATTATCAACACCGGATTCCAGGATATCGAGAACGCTCAACCACAAGATAAGAACAGTAAAGTCTACTCACTCGTTCTCACTGACACAATTCGAGTCACCTCGGGAGAGCCAGTAGTCTTCACTGCGGAGGCTCCTACCAGCGCCGATGCGAACTCCTTCTTCTTCAAGGACGACGAGGAAGCTGAGCCAGCTCCTAAGAGGGAGAAGAAGGATTCAAGGGTAGGAGCTGTTGCTACCAAGAATATCACCAACACCAGACTCCGATCGGAGCGCTCTAACCAAGTGGATGAGGATACCGAAAAGCGTCGCCGTGAACATCAGAAGGAACTGGCCGCAAAGAAACAGAAAGAGGGTCTTGCCAGGTTTGCGGAGTCCACCGGTGCCAAAAACGGCGGGGAGATCAAGAAGTTCAAGAAGTTCGAGTCATACAAGCGAGACAACCAGTTTCCCTCAAAGATTCGAAATCTTGAGATCGTGGT